TGGATGGATATTTCACAAGTTGAGTAAAAAAAATTCTCTTTACTATAAAATTTCAATTTAATTATTATCGTTAGAATGTACATTAGGACACCATCATATTAAAATCAAGGTCTAGAGCATTGTTTGAAACTTGATATTTTTAAAAATTGCAACATAACTGAAAATTACAACCATAATACTTCTATGTCTTAATGGATATTAATTTTTAATATAAATATTCCACATACTTAAATACTGTAGTTTATTGTATGTTATCAATTGTTAAGTAAACTTATCCAGAGGTTACATAATTTGTGGAATAGTTTAATTTTGGTGTTTTCTCTGAATATTGACTTATTTGCATATAATAATGCTATTTTTAGATAAAATAATTGATTACTTTTAAACTAAAAACACTGACAGAATGTTCATTCTTGTGGTTATGTTTATAAACAGTTATTGGTTCCTTTTAAGTTAAAGACTATTACGAAATGTTCTCGAGAAATTAGTCATACGATAAAATATTAGGTTTGTTGAATTGGTGGTTTGGGAAAATTTGACGAATTGGGAAGATTAAACTTTATATTTTTTAAATAAATATATAATAATCTATGCTTTTAAATTTTGCAACGTATACAAAAATTAAGTACCAACCAAATAGTTTAAATTTTTTCACATTTTTATGATATCGAGACCATAATTATGAGTGTAAAATTGTTGAAACTTTAATATGATGCTAAGATAAGACTAAAAAATACCTACACAATTAGGTACCTGCAATTCAAAAAGAAGAAAATCACGGATACCCAACAGGTGATCATTGGCGTTGGTGCTAGCTGCTCGTTTATAAGCAAAATGACATGTTCGCTAAGTTTTTCAACATGAGTTAGAGTGACAATTAACGTGAGGTTAATTAAATACAACTCGTTATCGCAGATCGAATTAGTTGAAATATAATTCCTTCTTGCATAAATCTTTTACTTACTTAGATTTATTTCTTGCTTATGTATTTTATTGTAACTGTGATATATTTTTGTTTTGCGTACCTGGCAACTTTGTTCTATAAATAATTTGCTCATGTTCTACACGGCTTCATGCCTGTCTTTGTGTTAAGTAAGAAATTTATAGTAAAATAATTAAATTCTTTGTGAAAGAATATAGAATGTGTCACTTTAGAGAATGAATACTTGGCTGACTCAGAATCGGAAGGAAAGAACATTTGCTAACGTGAACATATGCTACGTTTCAACAACAAATCAGGATCGAGATACCCACACTACGTCACTTGCAGGTATCTTAATCAACAATAATTAAAACCAAATATTTTGCTAAATGAAGTTGGGAAGTATACTGAGATAAAGAAACTCAATGGTTATTAGAGAAAAAATGTTTAGTAGCTAAATTTAAAACCTATTTTTGTCATTTTAAATGCTCATTTAAAATTAATTTATTTTTTGAATTCCAACAAATTTTTTTTTGGAAACTTGATAAATGAATAGCTATTGAGCCTCTCGATTTAAAAATAACAAAGGAAATTTTTATTAATTTGATTATTTCTTAAAGTATATAAGTTTGATATCTAAGCAGATCTACCCCATTTGTTTGGTTTCGTGAAGATTACGCTTTCTATATTTTAAGTATTAAGAATAAAAAAAAAAATCCCTTTACATCGAAAAATTTTCTAATGAAGAAAAAATTAGAATATCTATGAGTTAATCTAATGCTTATATAATGCATAAGCATTAATTCTTCAAAATTCTTCATTCGTGAATAAAGGGAAAACGCATTTCTTATAAGTTGTATATTTGTCCAAAATGAAATATTAATAATTGAGTGTAACATTTTGCTCCTTTGTACATAAACTACATTCCTCGCAAAATATATCACTTTATTGTATGGTTTAGCCGTTTTCGGTTTTCTTGGTTGCCTTTTATTTACTTTCCCTGACAGCGGAAATGGAGGAAATAAATAACAAATAATATAATAAAACACAAAAAATACATATAAGTATTTTTTATACATTGCTTATTCAAAGTAGTTTTTACCGTGTATTATAACTTTACTTTGTAAATTTAATAAAATAGGCTCTATCTTAATATCGTTGCTTAATATGAGATTTTCTTCTTATGTGTATAAGATTATTATGCAATTGAGTGAAAAAAAACAACAAAACTTTTCTTTACTTTAAGTTAATATTTTTTTCAAAAGGAAAAGAAAAAAAGCATATTAATTTTCTTAAATATTGTTCGAAAGGGACAAATTACTATATTTGTATACATATATATCGAGTTTTTGACTGTCTTTGAGTCAAATGCCATTTAAGAAACCAACTGCGAAAGTGTTTTGTTATATTTATCATGTTGATTGTAGAACAATAAAAAGAATTTTTAAAATTTAAAATGTTTGTAAAAAAATAATAATAGGAACAAAACAATTTACCTCATAGAATTTTTTAATCTTATAAGTAATTATAATATTTAAAAAAAATTATTTATGCTTTTCAGAATAGAATTATCAGGAAAAAATAGAAATGTAAACAGAAACGAAATATAAAAGGAGGAGTAAGAAATAAAAAGAAAATGAAAGGAAAAAAAGAAACAAAAAGAGGCCTAGAATAAAATTTAAGGAATGGAAATAAATTTTTCAGAGGACAGAATTTATTTAAGGATAAGTAAAATTATTTTTAGTTAATAAACAAATTTTTTTATTGTTTTTGGAAAAATTTTAATTTCTGATATTTAAGGGTAGTTTTTAAAATTTATTATTTTTTATGAAGATCAAATAAAGCTAGAGTAAATTTCGAGTCATATTTTTTTTAATTCTTCGAGGTTAATTAAAATACAAAAATGCGAGAATTACTAGAGTTAAAAAACTGATGCATTAACTCAAGTTTCAACTCAATTAAAAAATCAGATTAAAAAAAGTGATGGAGAAAAAATATAGAAAATAAACGGAAATCGATAGATAAAACTATAAAATATTAAAGTAGCTTTAAATTATGTAATAAATTTCTTAATTTTTTTATATTATTTCTTTAAGTTTTAAGAAGTGAAAATATTTTTATAAATCGCAAAATGCAGTATATAACTTACTTCAAATTTGTATCATAACGATAGCTTGTTTTATTGAATTTTGAAAATCTTACTTGTTTGTAGCAAAAAGTTCTAACTATTGCGTGCAGTCAAAATATTGTTTCAATAGTCTATATATGTGTAAAATATCTAAACAAAATAGTGTCCGAACTAGTTCTGATAGCACTTCCTCATTTGAGAGTTTTTCCGCATATAACATATGCTTGAGGAGAAACAATTATACAGGTAGTTTGCTTGTTAAAATGACGGGGGAAACTAGATCCTAGTTTTACGAATTGCACGTATAACAATAAATAATACAATGTTAAAAATATTTTTTTTTAAATGAGCTGAAATTATAATAAAATTTAGTTCGTCATGTTTTTGAACAGTCAAATAATATTTCTTTTAATTCTACAGTCATTTATCATGTTTTAAAAACTAAAGTCATGTAAAATACAACATTTCATTCGTCATTAGTTTAAACTGAGGACTTTTTGTTTCTGAATAGGATAAGATTGGTGCTTTTTTGAATATTAAATTTTTCTTACTTAGATTTTTTTTTACAAAATATGAAAAATATCTTTTTTATCTCATACATAAATTACTTTAGATTTTTGTCCTTAATTTATAGACTTTATTTTAAATTCTCCTGATTTAAATTTAATGTCTAGTTTAAATTTAAAGGTTTTTAAGATAATTTCAGTTTTAAAAATTGTTGAATGATACATTAATACATAAAAAATGTATAAGTATACCAAAAATGTTCTTTTAAGAAATTAAAAAAAAATAGAACGTAGAGTGAATAATTAAAAAGACAATTACAAATATTAATAGATAAATATTTCATAACATTTGTTTTAAAAAATTAGACTACCTAAAGTAGTATCGTAAATAAGTTCTCGGGTGAACACTAAACAACACTACTCAAGTTTTATTTTTTTCCCATAAAATATGTAAAAAGTCTAAATTGTATTTTTATTTAATTATTTGTTCTCACAAAATGTCCATTATTCAATTGTAAAATGATATTATATCCTAAATATTCTAATTTGAACATTAGAAGTAAGATAATGTAATTTTGTTGTTTGATAGATTAATTAATTTGTACTATAAAATTGATTTTGTTTTTGTTGTCGTAAAATGCGGAGGTCAAAGAAGGTTTGCTTAAGTGATATCAAAACATTGTTACACAAAATTTGTATATTAAAAACTAATTAAGTTTCGAATATATTAGAACTTATAACATAATATGAATGGATTCTTTGAAGTGCAAAAAATACTGATAGCGATATCATTTTTAAATTAAACTATAACAGGAAAAAACCTTAAAAATAATTATGCTGTAATAATAAATTTGAATAGGCTATCACACAGATATTTGCGTAGAATTAGTTTCGACAGTACGCGTTATATTTTGTTATTTAAAATTAGGATAAGTGACAAAAAAATCAATAATATTTTGAATCTATGAAGTAAAAATATCAAAAAAAGTATTCAAGTAAAATGTGATATGTACATAAAATTTTTCAAACCTAATTATAATTAAATTAAATTTTATTTTAAATTTCTTATTAATTTAATTACTTTTTTTCGTTAACTATGGATTTAACAAACATGAACAAAATATCCAAACTGAGATTAAACAAATATTAGAATGTAATTTTTTGGTTTTTGCAAATAAAACAGCTAATAAATAAAATTAAATAGAAATTAGAGCTATGAAAAATAAATCAAAAATCTATTATTTATGATAGGAAATAAACTAAAAATCTTTCTAAAAAGAAGTTTCAAATAATTGAAAAAATGTTAAATTTTCTTATTTCGAGAATTTTAAATAAAAATTAAACCTTTAATTACAATTTCAAAGCGATCCTTAAAAAAAAAAAATTAATATGGCTTACTCAAATTAAAATAAATATTAGACAAAAACAAAAAAAATACACTTACCTTTAAGAAAGAAGAGCACCCCGAAAAAATGAAGAATGTTCATCCTGATACGAGGAACACAACAAAAGTTCTCGGAAAACTTCCACGATTTTTTTTTCTCGTTTTCCTAACTCTCTATTTCAAAAGAACATCGCCGCTGAAACTTCGCGTCAAGTGACACTGACTGAGTTGTTCGTGCCGCAAGAGGCTACGGTAGCCACGCATGATGCCAAGCGAAGACAGAATAGTCGCCAAAATAGGACTTCGAAAAATATCTCGCCAAAAACCAGCCGGCACGCGAGACTCGCATGTCGTCTGCTTCAAGCATGCGCAATGAGGCGAATAACACGCGTTTCAGACGCGGGCTTCCTTAACGTCATTATCGTGAAGAGGCTCGTTGAGGGTTATTTGTTTTGTCAGTTTCAGTTTGGATGCTTGCATTGTCTCCCGGCGAATATATTGTATTATCTTTCAAAGAAAACGTAACACATTTGTTTCGAATAAATATTTAAACAGTTATGTATAATCAGCAATACAATAATTATTGGGATTTTCGTTTGACGGGTGTGATTTATAATAATTATTTTTGTTACTTTTTCGGAGCGCTATAGGTGGCGTCTGTTTAAACATTAAATAATTTTATTTATTAAAACACAACTGCTTCAGTGTGATGGACAATTATTTAAAATTGTTTCGTAAGAAAATTTAATTAAAATTTTTTCTGGTTTGCTTTTTCTGAAAACGTAACTTTAAAACTATTTTAACTCGTCCTTAAACCTTGTATGACCTATGATTGTTAAAGTTCAATAGCAATAAAACAATAAATTGCTGTTTAAAACTGTTTCGTGAAACTTTTTATTTTGATTTAAAACTATTTTCTTTGTTTTTCTTTTCTTTAATTAACTTGACAATTATTTTAGACAGGTTATGAAGGCAGTGAAAAAATAAATACATTTTCCAATAAATTGCTCATAAATTTAATCTAACAGATTCCATACGAGTTTTCAAAAAAATTGGAATAAAATACTATAGAAATTGATAAGATAACTCCCTTATATCCAAGAAACATAAATGTAAATTTTTTTAAAAAAACTAGATTATAACATGTAAAATACGTGGAATATTTAATCCTGTTCTATATTTCATAATCGGAATATCTAAATATCTTATGTTCTGAAATTTTCATAACTTAATTTCTATTTTATACATTTTTTGCCATTTTTTCCAATCTACACAACTAAAGTAATAATATTTTTAACGAAAAATATTGATAATGGAGAAAATAAATAAATTTTAAAATAAATTGCAAGTAAATTAAATTACTTGTAAATTAAATAAAGCATATTCCATGGGATTTGCCAAACAATTTGAATTAAATTATATAGAAATTGAAGAGGCATTTTTTTTGATATCCCCTAAAACATAAAAATAAGAAAAAAATTTAACTAGATTATAACATTTAAAATATATGAAAAATTATCACTCTTCTATTTATGTATGATGGGAATATCTAAATATTTTACATTCTGAAATTCTTATCTTAATTATAACTAAATTTTTTATAGACATTTTTTACAGTAAATTGTATAGTAATAATGCATAATATAGGAGAAAATACATAAGATTAAACGATGCTGAGAAAAATAGTTATTTGTTATTGGAAACAAACTCAATCAGAGAGGCGGATGGGTGTGAAGAATTTGTTTTATTATTATAGAGAAGATCAAACTTAATGAAGGATATATTTTATTGATTATTTTATAATAAACATACGAGTATATAAAAATCATTTGACCAAAAGAATTCTGTTGTATTCTGTTGTGTCACCACATATGGTCCACATGTTGTACCAGCCGTGAGCAAAAGGTTAATTTCAAACGCGTCAAGAATACACTGGGGAAATTTTTTTTCTTCTGTTGCATAGCATTTTGCACCAGATATTAGCTGATTGCTGATTTCAAATCTGAGATCGGTTTATAACTCTTGTTAAAATGTACGAGTTTAAAAGCGTTATATATAACAGGGAGATGTGTAAATGTTTCAAGGGACTTCTAGTACAGTTAGATTACATCAGAAGGATTGAGACTGCATATCCTAGAAATGTCCTTATACGCCACTAGGGACGCTGCCTTATTATGAACTGAACTGCTTCTTCGTGAGCTTCGGAACTAATCATAAAAGAAAAACGTCCTTAGCCGCTCACGATGACATTTCTTAGCATGGTTTACTATTCAATTTCAATCCTGATGATGTGCCTTAAGCATTATTTTAAACTAGTATATTTCAACAAAAAAACAGACTGAAAATGTAATTTCAAAAAAATCTGTGGCTTTAGGAGCAAAATTAATTTCAGATTTGATGTACCCACACTCTAATTAGGCAAAATCAGTTATTTGTATCCATGAAACAAAAGAAATTGTTCAGCAGTGATATTAAATTACAAAAATAAAATTATGAAAAAAAAAAACATTTGCATAATTGAGAAAACTAAGTGCATTAATATCTCCGCTATTCGCACCAAAATCAATGACAATTATTTTCACTCATTTTTACGAGCTTAAGTGAAATATATTAAAAATGTTTTTAGTAGCAATGAATCGTTTTGAAATACCTATGCTATTGATGTTAATATTATTGCATTATATTTTCCCTTCATAATGTGAATAAAGTTATTATGGAAATATTTCAAAATTTCATTTCCATAATACTATTACATAATAACTGGAGTCAAAAATTTTATACCATATAGAATAGTCTTGCGTTTCATATAAAATTCTCTCTCATCATTGATATCTCTTAGAAAATAAATTTCGGCATTGAAATACAATTTGCGTTCACTCAAGTTATGTAGTGCATTATTAAAGGTATAGCATATTGCTGAAAAACAAGTTTTGTTTCGCTCAATTGTAGCTTATTCCATTTGTTTATTTTATCCATAGAATATATTTAAAAAAGCGCAGTACTTTCTTTCATTATTTTCATAACAATGAATATGACTTTATTTCGCAATATTGCTAGCTTTCTTAAAAGAATAGCTCGTCAACTACAGCGACAGAACATATGCTTTTTAATAAGAATTAAAACTATAAAAGATTATGATGGAAAAAGTATTTCTCTTTATTGTATTTAATTAAAATAATTATTTCAAGCTTCGTAATTTTACTAAGAACGGAACTGAAATTGAAATGCAAAGTAAGGGAATTCACTTCACTATGACAAAAATTAAAAGCAAAATGTAAATTGAAAGGTTCAGCTAAAAAATGAAACTAAAATTAATTTAAAACGAATTTTTAAGCTGAATGTAGTAAATTCAAAAATTTAGAGTTTTACAAAACTTCTTTCCATTTTAGGTTAAAACTTTATTCTTTTTTTGGTCGAATACACTGTAAAAAAGTCTGAATTAAATTACGGTAAAAAGTACCGGCACTCAGGGTGCCAGTAATTTATAGTGCGAAATCCATTTTTAACGGAATATATTAAAGAATAAAGCAAAAATCTGATAAAGCGTAATTTTTACAGTAATAGTAACCATAAAATCACTAATAAATAAACATTACTGTATAACAATTTGCGGTAAAAATGGATTTTATAAATGATGCATATCAACTGCCAGTATTTTATACCGTAATTTGATCCGAGATTTTCTTACAGTGTATAAATTATAATTTATAACGATCCTCATTTTTCTCTCTTTCATTTTTATTTGTAGGGTGAAAAATAAAACTGTTATTGATATTTAAATCTTTAAAATATCTTTCATTGTTAATTTTCATATCGAGATGAAAGGAAAATTTAAAAGAAAATTCGAAATTTCTATTTGCGTCCTCTTCTAGAGACTATTTTAAAAATGCTTTTCCCAGTTGGAAAAGAAGTGACGTTTTAATTTTTTGGGGTGTTTTGAGAATGTAATGTGAGATTGTTTTTATGACAATGCGTCTAGTTTGACGACACTTGCCACGTGTATGTTTAGTTCCAGAGGGAGAAAGGAAGGTTTATTTTTACACCTGAAGATATGTAATATTTTTACGATTGTGACAGCTTTGCAAGAGAACAATTCACCCTGTTTTCAAATTTTACTAACCCTTTCTAATTTCAGTAATTATGATTGAGGTAATAAGGCAAGAATAGTTACCACTAAGTTACCGCAAGAATAGTTACCACTTTTAATTTGATATGCAATTTGTTATTGACTAGATGTAACAGATAAAGCACGTTTTAATAAAATTGGTAACAATATATTAGTTTATAGGGAATGCATAAAAAATTTTAATGTATAATTCCTTTTGCAGTTTGAAGCAGTTATAAAATTTATCTTATGACTAAAAGAAAAATAAAATTTATTAAGTTTCTTCTATTTTTTAAAACCTAATGGAATGTGGTCATTATACTTATCACAAAAAAGTGGTCCTAAATTTAAAATAAATTTCAAATTAAACAAACTGAATATTTTTATCTTAATCCCAAAAAGGTTTCAGTACATCCCTACTCGAAATAAGGTTGAAGAAGGTTAAAGGGTTAAGAAAACATTTAACGTTTTAACAACATCATCGCGATAAAATCCATTATTTTATTTTATTTTATAATTGGCGTTTTACAGCAGACCTGATTCTCATTTTACGACTATTAGTGTTCAACTCTGGTGCGTTGTAATTTTCAAGGCCAACTCAGAAGACAATGGAACTCCTGAATCAAACATTGGAACTAACTAGCCTTCACAGAGGACTTTTTGATAGAACTAAACCGCATTTGCTTTACGTAAAGAGGGAAAACAGTTGGCCCGATAGTAAGTAGATACTATGTATTGTTGGAAATATGAGATTTTAAGAGTTATATTTTTAAAAATTTCAAAATTTTGATGTAAAAGTAACAAGGAAAGGTCATCGAAGTTACGGGTTAAAGAAGTATGGAATGTAGGAGATGCTTCTAACTAAGACTGTTTTTCGAAGACTCAGCTAAAACAATAAATAAAGCTTTTCTTAGATAATATGCTATTTTCATAACTGCTGTAAGTTTGTAACAATTATGGACCGTTAGGTCAAGTTTAGCCAAACTGAAAATGGCATAAAACATCAATATAGAAAAGTCACAGTTTCGTGAGAATTTGTGATCTAATTTTTCAATATGTTAAAAGTTACTCCAACACTGCAATATTAGGGCTCATAAATATTTGCAATAAATGGGAATTTTTACTGACTATTAGAATTATTTACTCATTGAATTATT